GTTATGGTGGCTGGACCGCAGAGGGTATTGTTATGACTCATCTGAACTTTTGGAGGGTATTTACGGGGGAAGGGTGGTCGTACAGACGCCGTCTTGGTTTTATCGACGGAAATAAAACTACCGAAACAATAATAATATACATAAAAGTACTGTGCAGTGGCTGCGTGCAATCCTCCGGGGTACTATTCTTCAATGTTAATTCGGTTTATCAAGTACAATCGATTTTTGTTTTTTTTTTTTGCATATAGACCTCGGCCAGTGCACGTGCGAGAGGTAATCGATTTTGTTGACCAAAGAAAACAACAACACGGACTTGGACGCAGCATTACTCCTAATCGCCCCTTTTCGACGTACACGTGTTAATTGATTTGTGCCATTTAACGGCATTTTCTGCAAGACGCCCTTCGTGCCAATATTCTTATTTATTGCACGGTGCCCTCCAGCCTGCATCGACCACCCGGTCTCGAGTTCCCGTCAAGCCCCAATTGTTGTAACATACAATAATATAAATACCGAGATTACGGCTCGCCATAAAAAATAAAATTATGACGATCACGTTCAACTGCACAAGTTAATGCGCTCGTTGGTATGATTTCGCATGATCTGCCAACACGTACACGGCTATTATCAGGTGCCGTCGACGATTGTGTATTTCTTCGTTTTCCAACGACAACGCTGTCCGATTCTGTTATTTGTTAAACGCCCGAGGACCTCCCGCGCACATAGTACAACAGCTTTGTTAACGAATTACAAGCACACGCTGACTGGTATGCGTTATTGACTTAAATCGAGCAGAACTCTCTTGGCGTCGTCTCGCTCTATCCGTGTCTACGTCACAATCTGCCGAGAGCTCTGGTAGAATGGTGCATTCCTATAAGTACACTAAAACGCCCGCAATGACGCACACGCGATTTGATTTTGGTTAGTTTTAGTTTTGCTATCAATGATTAAGTTTTACACTTCCAGTCATTTAATACGACGAACATACAATGATACCGGACACTTTCAAATCCTGTTTTTTTCGCATTTACAGATACACTAATATTATATTATTCATATTTTGTAGAGATTGACACCTTCCTAGGAAATCAATAAATTAATTTTAACAGACCGTATTATTAAATAAGAGTATTTATTTTTTATTAGTTTAAAAAATAATTTAACATTTCTCAGTTTATTAATCTACATTTTAGTTCAAAATACTTTTTGGATATTGCACTTGCAAAACAATGAAATATGATACGTTGGTCGTTGACAGAATCAAGACCAAAGTCATAATCCTTAAACTACACTCTGCACGCATCACTTTCAACGTTTTACAAAGCGTTGACCCAGCGACGATAAATCAGTAGCGTTTTAATAGGTGTGTGTTAAGGTTCAAATAACCGCGCCGTGTTGTCGAGAAGTATAATTCGCCCAGTCGTCCGATAATTGACAAAGCGAGGACTACTAGCAGTGATGAATATTGTATCCATAATGCAAACTTATGGGACTCTCAATTAAGTCCAATGAGAAATCATGGAACTCGTGCCTGGCTCGTTAGTTTACAGATCAATGAACATTTACATATTACGCATAATAAGCAGTTTAATTATTTCACACCCATCAGTACACGGGTCCGGCATAGGTTTAAACGATGTCGAGCTTCTTTGGCGAATGAGTAATCTCTGAACGACATTACACAAACCGAGCGCCGCGTTGAATTGAAAATTTCGTATAATTAATTTAATGTGCTCGAAAAGTTACCCGTAAGACGTGTTAATACTTGATAATTTCCAGTTGAAATTATAATTTTATTCGACACACTGTTGTGACGCCGAGAAATAAGCGCACCGCGTAAAATGATGTTTTCCAGAAAACAACATGGTTCACGCTTATGAATACGGTAAACGAACGACAATAGCCATTCGTGACGATAATGCTGCGGCCATTAGCAGGGCAGTGAAATCCTGATCGATACTCGTGTAAGTCCGTTTTGTTAAATGACGGTCATTTGAAAATTGCCGAGTCGACGTTAAAATATAATAACAGGTTCGGCAACATTGGCCGCCGATTAATATGTATTATTTATGGTTTTCGTGATAGTGTCCCTTGAAGCAATACACAATATACAAAAGCGAGACCTTTCGGTTTTCTAATTGTTAAGCACAGAGACGGTATTATTGGATGATTTGAACTAAGAAGCGGTATTTGACGTTCGTCGTTTTATTGACCAAAAACAGACTCGTGTAACGCAAAATAAATTTCCCGCTAGTGTTTCTTCAACTCCACTCTCTGATAACAGCTATACCGGTAATCGGTATAGTAGTACAAAGTATATTATGTCAGTAAATTGCAATACATTATCCCGACACAGATATGAATCACATCGTATAACCGCTACACGAAACGCAGTAGTTGCACTCGGAACGCATTTTGCTGGCAGAGTCGAAAGGATATCATTACTGGGGAAACCCCCCGACGTGAATAATGTATACTGCAATCCTCTTCTTCTTGTCCTCATCTTCCGGAATACTGCATCGTATAAGCGCACAATAACACGAAACGGTTTGGTTTCTACCTATACAGGGAAACCGGAAGCAAGTAACTGCTAGAGATAAGACACATTAACATACACGCTGTGTAAATCATATTACGTAAACATTAATTACTAAAAAATTGTCTGTGTAAATATAATATATTATTATTATAACTATTAGAGTATCGAGTATAGCACGGCGATAATCGGCGAAAAATCTTATAGGTATCGTCCTTATATCCATCTAACCGTCTAAAATCTTCAAGAATATATTTTATATAAAGTAAATATAACAATAAGGTTAAATACACCGGATGGTTTCCGCCGTTTTTATTTTACCACAAGTTATCCTTCAGTATATAAGCCATCGTTTATAACAATTTACTATACTATCGAACATACCTGAACATACGGCTCACACCGTTCTCGTGTGTGCATCGATAAGCCGCGTTTACACCATTTATTCAAAGCGAACCAAAATATTGGACCTCACCCAACGTTGTAAATCGTCCATCAATCTGGATGACGATATTGATATTTACATGGTCCATTTCTAATGAATTCGCCAAAAGTGATCAGCTACGGTGAACCATGTACACCCCACTATACTCGTACACGTGTGGGTTGGGGTCGCAGTGATCGTAAAGGGAGAGCACGTGGGGTCGGGATTTTGGACGAAATTGGTATCGCGTTAACTCTGCTAGACCCAAGGTCTATACCCAAGAGTATAGAAAAAATACTGATAAATCACTGCAGGAAGGTCGAATAGGTAAAATGTTAATAATATATCAAGTTGAAAAAATAATTTCTTTATTATTAATGGGCTAAAATGCGTTCACATTGAACGTCAAATTATAGGGCAGACATTGCTTGAAATACAATTTAATAAAGGGTTTGTCCAACTAAAAAAAGAAACAGTCATACAAGTAAAATATAAGGGACTACAGTCAACGTTTTTCAAACGCGATACCATTTCAGCTCATATTGACAAAACATAACATATTAATATATATGCAGCGCACGCTATAGCATTAACAACAAGTTTTATTGATATAATTTATTTATCGTTAGCGTTTATATCACTAAAATTAACGGTACCTATATACAAGAAAACGTACGCCGGGCCGTTAATACTTTATGCATTTTTATTAAAACGCGAAAAACATTTGGCTTAGCCTAAACTACTTAAAAAAACTAATTAAACACCATATTATGGATAATTAATTAAATAGTACGACAAAGTAACTAGTTGTGAAAACACACATTATTTAGATATTTAGATAGGCAACCTTGACGTAAGCCTTCGGACCTCATATTTTGTTTAAAAAATCTACACATTATCCAATTTGTACATATGTTTTGTGGGGTGCTAAATTGGGTTGATGATTATAATTATAATTATCCGTAGATTATGAAACGAATTATCGAAAATATTGTGAAAACTATAAAAGTCATCAATACGAACCAACATAATCTTAGCTCGTGCGCTATAAAAGCAAAATAAAATTAATCCAGAACAAAAGTTACAATGCAAGTTTTAAATGTTTAATATTTCATTACCGGAAAAATAGGAGTTGATTTATATTTATTTCCACGTTGTTCCATACATTATTTATCAGTAATGGGATTCACGAAAAATAATAAACTTTCATTCCGTTGTTTGCGCACTTTTGAACTAGGTACACCGAATTCGTTAATTTTTAACGGGATAAAACTGAAGGTCTCTTTGTTTGGAACACCTCATCAAATAATTATCAGATTTATTAATAATCAAATGTTTAATTTTCCGAAACATTTGACCCGGTGGAGCAACCAGGAAGGAGGTTGGGGTTGTGACCACCCCTCCCCCACTTTTTGATTTAAACGTTTAGACTGTTTACATAAATCTGCGTTCAACGATAACACTCTACAATACGATTTTGGAACAGTAAAGATAAATCTATTTTTTTTTTCTGAGTCCGAATCTGGTATCGGAATTCAACTAGACTCGTCTATTTATTTCTTGAACCGCTTCCAAGTCATGGTACAACATAACTTCGCCGCCGGCATCTTCCGACAAACGGAATGTATCTGAATAATCCGATTTTGTGTTCCGATAAAATTGTACTCGTCGCGATTACTTTTGTAATCGTTAAAGGACGGAGAATCCCTAGTAATTATCGAAACCACAAGGGACAATCTAATAGCATCTATTCATTTTGTCGCCGATACAAAACGTATACGTTTTTTGAACAATACAAAAGTACAGGAAAATAAATCGACTTCGTTATAAAAAACACCGTATGCGCGAAATGGCATGAAAACAAAATCGATGACGGTGGAAAATCATAAAAAACGACTTTTCTATTACATTGGGTCTTGTCACGATATCGTAGGAAAACAATAGAAACATACCGTGCTATTGTTTATTAACAGACTTAAAAAAAAAAAAGAAAAAAGGTTAGCTCTTCTCTTATCTTTTAAGTTATTTCGTTGCACTTACTTTAGTCGAGGGAAATCCCGGGCACTTCAGGTTTCACAGAGCCGCCTATAAAGAAAAAAATTAATATTACACGCAATCCATAAGTATAGTACACAAATCAATTAGTAATAACATTTAATCGTATAATAATTAGAAATCGATTAGGAGTTATGAAAACGTATAGTTTGTATACTTTGTTCTTCTATTACAGTCGTATATAATTAGAAAAAAATTAATTCTTATCAATTAACGTATTACTATACTACTAATATTACATACAGTGTTATTATTCTGTACAATAGTCGTTAAATATTATACTAGACTCACGTAGACGAAACCTCGGCGCCACGTCGAGATCGTCTACGGTTTAAGTATCTACAAAAAAAAAAAAAGAAGAAAAGAATCCCACAGAAATTACAAAACGAACATTATGAAAAACTTTTGATGGAGCATATTTCACGGGGCATTTGCGAGAAACGTAATAAATGTCTTATTTTTACTGTGACTATCCACCTACAATAATTCAACGACACTGCTACTCGGCGCCAGTGCGTTAAGCTGTGGCGTGTTATATATTATGGGTGTAAAAAAAAAAAAAGTTGTCTCAAAGCGGTAAAGTTTTTTATTTTTGTCTCACAAATATCAACGGTAATACAGGTATTTTTATTCTGTCCAATTCACACGGCAATAATAATAAAAAAACGACCGCTCCGGTACCTGTTGACAAGCGTACCACCATAAGAATAATATCGGCTATGCGATGATCACGTGTCGAAAACCACCACAATAATAATATCATTATCATAAAAGGTTTTCCGCGCTAAACGTTCGGATAGAGGTCGGTCGGTTTTAGTATTGGCCTGGTCTGTCTGGTTACGGTTTTCGAATGAAAGCTAAAAGTTGTAGTGTGCGAAGGACGTTAACGAGGGACCGTGCCGTTGACATAGTGTGTGCATTCCCATGGGCGTCAATCCGTATGTGTACGTCAAATTGAACGAGAAAAAAAAATTAAATAAAAAATAAACTCGGTCATATTTCATCTCGACGCCACTCGGCGCGTTTGCAGCACCCGTAATGCGTATGTGTGTACTGTTTGCGCTGTTTGTCTACGAATAGTGGCGGCCACAAATGATAATGCCACGTCTGGGGATTTACGACCACCCGTCCCTTCTTCGCCATTCGTAGTTTAATACACCCCCTCGGTCCTTTAAACACCCACCCGCTCACTGATGGGCTTTCTATTCGTAGTGTGTGTGTGTGTGTGTACGCGACGCAACAACCTGGAAACCGTTTAAATTAGGGGAAGTACGGTAAAATTGTTGCCGCGTACACGGGCTTTAAGTGCGTTTCCCTTTGGTTTCGACAAGGGTTTTCTGTCAGACATACGGTGGTCCCCGACCGCGATACCATCGTCGGCCTAAAGCACCTCGGGCTTGTACTACGATATTATAATTATTAATACGGCTACAGCATTACTGTGACTTCTAAACGTGCACGAGATGAACTCTTGACATGAAGGTTACGGCGTAGAAGCGCCGTCAGTGTAACACGTTATTATATTATACAGAAACAAACTTTATAATATCCCTAGCCATTTCCGAGATAGATATATCATATAGATGGAGAGAGAGAGAGAGAGAGAGAGAGAGAGAAAGCGAGACAAGAGATAGAACGAATCTTACTACGAAGAAATGTAATAAAAACAATATCTAAGAACATTGTTAAAGTTCGTCTACCTACACATCACACAAAAAAAATTTCCATAATAAAAAAAAAAAACAATAAATAACACTTATTACATGATTACGAAAAATGTTTACAACAAAACAGTACAATTATTTATTTACTTAAAACATTGTTCGAGAGATGATAAATAATAAATTGATCGCGTGAGTGAATTTAAAAACTTTTGTTTTCGCGAAAACTACCAGAAGAAAAAATCAAGCTGCTGTATAGCTAATACATTATAGGTTTAGTCAATGCACGACGTTTCCATAAACACATTAAACTCCAACATTCCCTACACGTCACACAGAATACAGAAATAGTAAAAAATTAGGAACTGCGTCAATGTACTAAACGATAATAAACGCTTTTTGGAAGTGTCGCCTGTCCGTCAACTGCATGTACCATATATATATATATATATATATATATATTATCAACGTGATTCTACTTCAGATGGTCTTTGTATACAATAAAAAACTAGCGTGTAAGAAAAATAAAACAGCGACGAGAAAGTCTGGAATTCCTTATATTCGTATCAAATGTCGGTCGAGTTTTACTTTAATAGTTCTTTTAATTTTGTTGCAAAAACTCAATTAAAATTTTACAAAAATGTTTCAGTTTATTAACGTATACAAAATATACAGAAATAATTGGATTAGCCTAACATTCATTGTGCACAACTATAAATGTGTTTTTTTTTTAAGTTCACGCCATTTTAAGAAACAACATTAATCAATAAACACAACGAACAAAAAATCAAAACTAAGGTTTAAATATTAACGCAAACATCGTCAATGTCATAGAAACGCGAGCTGTACTGCATGAAGCATTCCGTGTAATTAATGTGACTTGTCAACTTATGTAAATGTATGTTTGACATAAAAGTAATTTTGTTTTTCCGTGCTCAACCGGCAAATCGATTAAACGTAATTTCACTATAACAAAAAATTGGCGATCCCAACTACTGTAAATCACGTCAATACATCTGTTTAGTAAGCCTAAAGATATAAAATAATCTTTAAAAAAATGAAGCGGTCAACAACGGTTATAAATCATTTTCTCGTTAAAAATTCCTATTATTGGATGTTTGTTGCTTAAGTGGAATGTGGAACACAATATTTTGTACGAAACGCATAATAATATAATATATACACACCTGTTTAATATTTAAAGTACTAAAACGATGTTACATTGTACCTACGTAGAATATGATTTTTCGGTTACCGTTAAAGAAAGTGTCTGTTAAGTTGATACAAAAAATAATAATAATAGGACAATAGAGATTGAACCTATTGCATAAAATCTCAAAATCTATTTAATTTGCTCTCGAATTAAGTTCATTACCCAACTAATGGTTTTTAACTAACTAACGTTACTTAACGTCATAATATAATATAAATTATAATTAAAAAAATAGGCTAATAAATAATATCTAATGTAAATAGAGCTTGACTTTTTATCATTAAATACAAATTCCTAGACTACAGAAAAAATAAGATGGTAAATACATTTACAACAAGGGACAATATTATACAACGTCGTTCTACGAGTAGTTTATACAAAGCAATAACGGACACTTGCGGATTATTCGCAGCTGCAATTAAGTTGTATAATTACCCGAATTAGTGTGTCTTGGGGTCCCCTTTAGAGCTGTTTAAGTTGAACATCACGGAGAATCAAAAGGTTCAACTAACGCATTTCGTGAAAAAAAAAACACCTTGAACTCATCCAATATAAATATTTTTTAATTATGTTTCTTGTCGGCATTGTATTTTCGCGCATTGTTCATAGAATGTTAGTAGTTACACTTTGGTTGAAACAACACAAATCACATTTGCCAACCAACGTTAATTAAATAATGTTAACTAATTGTTATAGTATTTTTAATATAAGACTAATATCAACGGGCAACATATTGAATGTTTAATACAATGATGTCAACTAATAAGTCCTGGAGCTAATGTCAAGGAAGTCGATTTTGAAACATATATTTTACGTGAGACATAAGAGAAAAAGAGTAAAAAACTTCACAGTGCGGTGTGTCCAAATCCCAAGGTATTTTGGTAAGTTTTTAACAAAGAACATCTGATACAGCATACAAAACACGAAAATTCTCAAATCGTGACGAAGAGAAAACGTATGAGTTTTCATTTACCAAAAAAAATAGAATAGTTTTATTTTAATTAAGCCTAGAAATAAAACTCACACACAAGAAGTTAATATGACTTATGAACAGGTATATGAAGTATAAAGATAGTGTTAAATATTCGAGAGAAATACTAAACCGATGGATTACAAATTACTTGGCTATAAATATGTATGATAATAAAGTATTGTGTCATTTTTATCCGTAATGTTTTACGGATAAAAATAATATAATGTAAACTTCCTTGTGGGAAAAACTGTCATTCACTCCCAACTGGAAGAATTAAACTAAATACTTGCATTTAACTCAAAACTTATAATCAAGAGTGAAGGAGTAAGTATGACAGTGACAAGTTTTTTTTTCCATAAGACTTTTAACTTGAACACATATAATTCGTATTTATTTATCTACCTCTTGTATGGAAAATACAAATATTATTATTTTTAACTACTTTTGTACATTCATTTGTCATTATGTTTTTTTTTTAGATATAAAAAATAGCGTTTTTAGTGTTTACACCATAATAGTATATTTTATACTATACTACCACACGAAATACGAAGATAATTTTTTAAGTAGGACTTAAATACATTCTAGAATTTAAAAAAGAGATTGCATAAAACATAACACACTCGCTTGCTTATTTGACAAATATGGATGTTTGAATATTAGATTGCTTCAATTTATGGTAAAATAAGAACCAATGCAATAAAATCTAAGTGTATAAGGATCAAGACTAGTTTAGATATAGTTAATTCTATCTGAAAACAGGAATTCCGTTAAAAAAAATGCGTTATCTTTAATGAAATTTTAAATTAAAACGACATGTATTATGGAATTAACAGCTTCTTTAATGTGTTATATATAAATACTTAAATAATAACATTTCGATAGAATCATTTTTTTTCTGCAGAATTAAATTATTAATTGTAGATGGTTATAAGTACTTTGTAAACTACCTACTTTTTTTTTTTTGTAATAAAAAAATATAGTCAGTCATGCGATAAGATATAAAATTCAATATAACTTTATCTTTGTGTTTTTTACAGTTTAGTAGCCATTCATTAATCTCGACAACATTTATTTAGACGCAATTTTGTACTTTTAAAAATGTTTAGTGTTCGACTACAGCCTAAACAGTATCTGGGTCGATTCGAATTTCATCCCTACCTTGTTATTGGTCCGGCGAAAC